TTCATTAATTTTAAACTTCATTTGGATGTACTTTGTTTAATCATGCTTTAACTATACTTCTCATATTATTTTGTATTTTTTCAACACTTTTTTTATCGGCCAGAACTTGCTTGGTTACTCCAATCTAACTGGCCGGTTTATCGGTTACTTAGAACCGGCCCTTGGCCAGTTTCCGAAAGTCGTTCGATTTTCCGATCACTAGTTGAAAATAATGGTCGATGATGACCCATTTTCTTTCGTAATTCTGTGTGCCACGTCATATGCCATAGTGATCGGCTTTAGGTTGAAATAGATATCAATCCAATCGATGGGAAATGAAGCTTAGCTTCGTTTGGAATACGTGACAATCAAAGCTACTTTTGAAAGTCGTGACTACTTAGAATGACATGATATATAAAAATCTAGAGCCCCATAACCATTCCTAATTCCCTGAGAATAAACCATGATGGGTTCAATGCAAGAGAAGAGATCGAAAGAGATCAAAACTCACTGAATCGACAAAATTAAAAATAAAACACTAAATATAATGGGAAAGCTTTATATGTTCTCCCTACAACATATATGTTCTATCCTCCTCCTTATCTAACCGTCCATTTTTTAATGGAGGGCTAAGATTGCCCCAATCATGATGTCACGTCTCTACACTGTTTTATTTTTAATTATTTTTCTATAAACTGTTTTGATACTAAATTTTAGACGTTCATTCCTCCATTAGACTCGCACTAACGAAAAATATATAAAAAAAATATTTTCATTAAAATAAAATGATCAAAATACCCCTGAAAGCTTCAAGGGGTAATTTGGTTATTATTTGTATCGAAAAATTATTGTTAGTATTTTTTATAGGTGCGTCCCAATGAGAAGATGACACATACTAAATTTCATATCCAAAAAATTTGTATTAAAAAAACTAAAAATAAAATACTTTGAGATGTCGGATGTAAGATCAAATGGTGAGTGGCTCTCTTGATAAAAAATGGATGGCTAGATTGTAGGGGGAGGATAGAACTTTTATGTTGTAGGAAGAACATAGAAAGCTTTCCCAAATATAATTTCAGCTGTCTGATTAGGATCAAATGATTTTAGCTGTATAGCACTCTAATATGGAAAAACATTGTAATATTTTCAAATATTTGTGTACTAAAAGACCATTTATTTACAATTATTTTTTGCTATTGGATATGAAATTAAACAAATGAATGTGTGTCACAAAATTGGAGAATTTTTTCAGACTTTGTGCTGAAACAAGAATACATCATCGACCACCTAATTTCTATTTAACAATCAACGATGATTATGCCCTTATTGTATAAAAAATAAATGGTCTCATTGTATACATTTTCAATTTGGGACTTTCAACACACACACACAATGTTTGGCATGTTCACAAAGATTACTAGTATTGAGACCACATTTATCGACACTATTTCAAGGTGGGCTCTACTTTGATTGTTTAGAGCCTCGGCTTATACAAACCGCACGTTTTATTTATTTATTCATATTCATGATGATTTTGATTGTCTAGATTATGAAATCGAGAAAATTTGGATCCAAAATCCATTTCTAAGATGGGTTATGGAGGGACGACTCCCGTGAATAGGTGAGTAAGTGGGCTCACACATTCAAACGCAAAGTTGCAATTCATAATTGTCGAGATTCTAGCCAATTCGATTGTGACTTTTGAAATTAACGATTCTTTACATAATTAAAAATAGGGAGAGTATACAATGAGACCATTTATTTTTGGTACAAGGTGGTCACCACTACTTATAACTATTTTCCATTTTGTGACACATTCAAACAATTAGATTTCACATTTGATGATTATAAGTAGTTGTGACCTCTTTGTACTAAAAGTAAATAGTCTCATTATATACATATACAGTCCCTTAAAAATAATAAAATGAAAAGTACGTTGCACAAACTAAAACGCATATCAATCAAAGGAGCACTTTTGTTTTTGCTCCGACTGAAGCATGCAAATACTCATACTCAACTTGCTTATGGAGGAGTGCATGCATTAATTTTTCTTTGTTGCCAACATTTCACATTCTTTTTATGCTTTGATCGTTTCACAAGCAGTTCACAAAAGTGGATTCCTCACCCATTATTTGACTTTCCCTTTTTTTTTTCTTTCCTTTTTTTAAATTTTTTTGACTTGGACCTTAATGAAACTATAGAGACCATGCTGTGGCACCCAACCACCTAGGCATAGTTGTCATTTCTAATTACCTGTGAACGAATTCACTATCGTATGGTTGAGGGGCTATTACTAGCGAGTCCGGCTTCATGTAGGCAAGTCGCAGTTAGTAGTCCTAACTGAGGACAAGTCCTTGGAGTTACCTCACCTTTGCGGGAATGTGACCCTTTGTTCCATCCATGATGACACGTGTCACCCATGACCTAAGGGTTCTTGATTGTCTGGTTGCGGTCGATCCAAACGAAATGATTTTTTATATATTTAACATGCCAACTATTAAACAACTAATTAAAAGGGTAAAAGGTTATGTTAGCGTATTCATACTATATAGTAATTTAGCATTGTACTCAACAAATTTGGACACTTATATACTATTATTTTGTACATGAAGCGTGTTTTTAGTAAGGCTGTTTTTTGTCATTATGAGGGTATGATGTCATTTACATAAAGTGTGACATCACTCACATAAAGCATTTAATAACGCACTCTATGTAGATGATGTCACATCTCATGTAGATGAAATCATACTTCTCCTAATGACCAAAAATACCTATATTAAAAAAATATTACATATACAAAACAAAGATGTAGAAGTGTCTTAAATTTGTTGAGTACATTGATAAATTACTTCATAATGTGACAATGTAAAATTACTCCATAGTGTGAGCACTTTAGCATAACCTCTCATTAAAAACACAACTGAACCAATAACAATTTGTACAAAATACTTGCTCTTCGAGGATGCCCTCCGCGTAAAGGGCCATGTATTAGTATGTATGTGTGACTCACTATAATAAACTAAATTGGGCAGCTGTGGTTTGACTTAGGTCACACAAATCCCCTTTTAAGTGTCTTGGATATGGAACCAAGTGTGCAGTGTGGTCTCCTAGGACCACCACATGCACCTTGCTTGTAAACCAAGTTAAGAGTGATGCTCAAATGAATCGCAACCTTGCCATTTGAGAGGCACACCCCTTGGTGAGAACCATTGGATTAGTGCTAAAGCTATTTCTTAAATCTTTTAATCAAAGGGGAAGTCTTTTAGAAGATTTATCAGAGTTGCAATCTTTAGAGGCCAATCACTGTTCAAGAAAGAATTCCCAATTAAAAATTTTCTCATACCTTATTCAGTTGTTTACTGACACAATATTGAGCCAAGTCTTCCTCCGATGCCCATATTTATAATTTTAATTTCTTTATTGGTAGATGTGAGTAAGTTCAAGTGAAAAATTAAAACAAAACAAAGAATGGGTCCAAAAAGACATGGTTGGAAGTATTGAAAAAATATATGGGAACTTATAGTGGCCCTTAATAAAGTAAAATGGAAGACCATGATTCACGTAGCTGACCGACCCTAATTAGTTGGGAAAAGGTTTTGATGATGATGATGATTGGAGTAAAAAAAATAAAATTTCCTCACGTCTCTTATCATTTAAAAGATTTTATGATCCTATTAGAAAAATATATACATTTATTCCCTTAGGTGAGACGAATATATATATATATATATATATAATTGGATTGTTTAATGTTGCAACCTTATAGAAACCACATCCAATATCATAGTAAGCAATCCCTATATAATAAGGGGCCGTTTGGGCATGTATAAATCTATTACGTGAGCATAAATTACAAGGAAATATGACTTCAATAGTAAGGAAATAGAATGACATTATCAGAGACTTCCCAAAAAATCACCAAATCCATTATGGGGCATAAAAAATACAGGTAATCTTTTTTTTGGAAATCTTTCGCTTGGGTCTCTCTATATTGATTTAAATAGATGTACGAGACAACTTTTTACTACAATTATAATAAAAAATTTATACATTCCCCTATCCCCAATTCAGGTTATAAATTTCTATATCCCTCCATCCCCAATTTGGGTTGTAGTCCTCATTTTACTTTCATGTAAAAACAAATTTTTTTAATAATTGCTAAATAAAAGTAGGAAGAAATCTAAATTGTTTTGAACTGGATAAGAGAAAATTTTCTACTCCAATAGTAATAAAAAAATTTCTACATCCCTCTATCTTTAATTTAGGTTGTATCCCGCAAAATTTCTATATCCCTCTATCTCCAATTTAGGTTGTAGCCATGTGCTCTCGTATAAAAATAAAAATAATAATCGGTAATGGATGAGAAATTACACAACACAATCATAATAAAAAATTTCACATAGCATAATCCCCATAAGAGATTTGTAAAAAATCAATTGAAATGAGATACGTCTTTAATCTCCTCCAATGCTTCAAAATTGTCTACTTCAATTACCAAACTTTTTAATTTATTAATCAAACTTTTTTCCATTTTTTAACGTATACCATAAAGATTTTGATTTTGGTATCATAAATTTATTGCTTATTTGAAATTATATATAGAGAGATATTTGAAAGACTTTTATAAAAAATAAAAAAAAATAAAAATTATCACAATAAAATCATGTTTTTCCAATAACTTATCATATTGAAACGAAAGTTTAATCATGTTAGCCAAATGTAATCATATTTTTCATATTTGAATGGTAATGTATTTATCATATTTTTTCCGACATAGCCAAACAATAGTAATGTATTTCCCAAATTATATCTAAATACTACAATCCAAACAATAACAGTCCATTTGTTATTACACACATAATATATTTCACCGACAATATATTTCCAGGTATTAAAATGGCCCTTAAGTTAAACTGTTTTAGCGTCTTATGATAAAGGCCAAAAGCATAATGTGATTCTTAAAATTGTCAAGGCGTTTCTTCGTCATTTTATGTTATCATTTTTCCCGCCCTTCCCCATCCTATTCCGCATTTTAAGCAAAAATCTTGTCAGTTCCTTTTCTGCAATATTGGCCTGCTATTTTCTAGGGTTTTCAAAACCATGGAGGTGGCACGAAAAATCGTAAGGGCTTCAGCATTGGAAACCCTAATATTTACCTAGCAGAACTCTTACTTTCCTTTCATTTTGATCACTGTTCTCATTTAATTCCTGCAGTTTTTAACTCCCTTTGGTTTTTTCACATTCTTTTTTCATTTGATCAGTGATTTGTAGCTTGCCGCATTATATCATTAAACTGTCCAAAGCATTTAACGTCATATTTATATGAATTTATTCTTAGTTGAATTTTTCTCATTATTAATTCGTTTTGTAATTGGCGTAGTAGAAATTCTGCCCTGCTCACTTGAAAATTTGCGATCCTTTGAAGTTTTCCAAATTTACAAATAATGGCAATTTGCATAGCTATGCATGTTTAGTAGATGTCTAATTGGAATGGACCCCTTTCCTGATTTAATTTATATTTGATGTGCCCATGATTCTATCTCCTTTTAAGGGGGGTTTATATAATTGATTTACAGTTGGTTAAGAGTAAATCTATACAGTAATTGTGTAGTATTAGCTTGTTACACAATGAATCCTTTTCCCTTCTCTTGTATTCTATTTTTTGTGAGTTTTGTGATATCTATACAGTAATTGTGTAGTATTAGCTTGTTACACAATGAATCCTTGTACCTTCTCTTGTATTTTTTTTTTAGTGATTTTTGTGAAGAGCGATTTATATTTAGAAGTATGACTCAACTAATGTCTTGTATTATTTGTTAATTTAGTGTGATCCATAATTACCAGTGATTTGCATTAGTTGTTCTTAGGTCACGCTTATTAGTAATAGGTAGGAATATAGTTATTCCTTCAAGGACTTGTGGGGAAGATGAATCATTGGTATCAATGTCAATATAGTATAGATGTAGCAAGTAAGCCATGCTTTGGCAAGAGAAACTTCATTATTAACCAACACTACCAATATCTCGATGTTTCAACAGATTTCATCTGCTTGTTACCTTTTGATTTCTCCATTCTCATTCAAAAGTGGAGAAAATCGTGTTCAACACGCTTTTAAGTTGTTAAAATTTGTATGGCATTTATAGCTCCTATAAGATATAGAATTTGGCCCACAAATTGTTGTAGTTTTCTTTATGATGATTTATAATGTACATTGGAACTACTACTGAGTGCTTGCTAAGTAGTGGTAAATAGTTATCTTGCTTCTCTTTAATCTTGTTTTGTGGTCTGCTCTCATGGAGTCGTGTTTGAATTCTTATGCATTTGAATGAGGAAATACCATATTGTTGTAAAAATGGTTCAGAACTTTCTTAACTCAAGGAATGACAATGGATCTGTGAAGAAATAGCGATGTGTTATTTAAGTAACTTATTCAGCTTCTATAGATTTTAGCTGTCTTTTTTATGTTCTACCCAATGGCAATCGTGGCTTTGAGCTTGATTGATTCCATTTTTCCACTCTACATTAACCATTCACTGACCCATTGATTCAGCATGGAACCTAGGTCATTCGTTTTGATGCTTCTTAGGTCAAGGATAAGTATGGAGCAACCCTTTTGTTCGCCTACCATACACCTGCTGGGTGAGACCCTGCTGAGAAGGATTACTTTGTAGTACATACTTGCCTATTTGTTTATAAGGTTTTATGGTGTGTTGGATGACATGGCCTTGGTTTGTTTAATGATTTTTTATATAGGCACATATGGTATCTTCTGTAACTTCGAAATGAAGTTATCTAATGGATTACTATTGTTTAGTCTCCATATATTTTAGCAATTGAAATCTTGGTTTGCAACTTGGATCGTAATCCATGATCTTTTCTCTTATTAAGTGGTTGAATTCACCGCTATCATGTATTTCAGACTAGGGAGTGGTTGTGCTTTACCATCGCTAATACGGGTTATGAGAAGCCTTTAAAAGGTTTAGGTAATCTCAAATCTCAGAGAGAGTGTGACATTGTTATACCTGCCAAGTGATGTTACCATGTCGATGTTTTTTTTTTGAGGCCAGCCTGAGTCCAATTAGAAGTTTGAAGCACTGCATTGTTATGGCTGTAACATGTGGCCATGGCACCACACTGTGGTTATAACTTGTAAGTTATGACAGTCATTATATGACTATAATGGTTATAGTAACGTTACTTTGAACCTTGCATATAAACCATTGTGTTTGAACTGATTCAAGTTGTCATAATTATTGCACTCTTCTTCACGAATTACTTGTGGATTTTGTATAAACCCGAGTTATCTATTGTTAAGTGATTCCATTCAGTTTAATGGAAAACGTGATGGGAACCCTGATGAGTTTGCAACCATGCTTGTAATAACTCTTTTTGCTCTGACCTGTATGGTCAACTGTTGTGCTAGGGGTGCATGCTTTTGATTGCGATATTCCTAATTTAGTTCATGTTCCTTAGGTTAACTTCCATTGCATTCTTTCAGGTTCTGATAGTTGATGCTGCTTGGCCTTTTATATGAAACTTTATAAGGTGGAGAGCTTGGAATGCAATATTGTTTAACTCCGTACTATCGAATAGAGATCATGGAAGATGATGCCTGCCATAGATTAGCTGAATCTGAACAGAAGGAAAGCCGACAAAATGCATTGAATTTCAAATGTAGGAAGATACGATCTGGTTTAGAGAAGGCTAACATTCGACCTGTCACTAGTGATGAATGCATGGGAGATAATGAAAACAAGGAGTTCCTTGAGAACATGGCATGTCAAACACCAGAGAAACCAGTCCAGCCTTCTGCAAGGAGTAAGAAGAAAAGTAATGGCAATTCTGTGAAATCGATGCAAACTGATGAATCAAATCAGGGTAACTATGCTGAAATTTCAGAAGACGGGACTTTCAATGACCGGAACAATGCTGTTGTACGTGAATCAAGCACTGACATCAGAAGATCGCCTGACAAAGAACCACTCATTCTTCCAGACAGGTAAGTGATTCAAAAGGAAATGCATCTCAATTCAATTTTGCTTTGTTCATTCATCAGTCATTCACACCTCGGATGCTAATATCTTCCCTGGAAAAACAGATATGAGACATTAAGGAGCTTCTTTAATAGTGTGGTGACTTCTGTAACATTGCTTGGTCTTCGTAAAATTTTATCTACATTTCAGAACATCAGCATTCAGGTGGGGATATTGGCAAAAAGGTGAACGGATCTTTTCTCTGAATTCCTTCCAAAAATATTTTTGATGCCTCTACACACACAAATAAACATAAATTGAGTCTGGTATGCTGCCTTTTAATGGTTCAGGAAGTTTTCATATGCCAACCTTGCCCAGCTGAAGTATATATTACCAGAAGCTATTCAAATAGAAAAGGTCATTGTGCATGATGGGAAGAGTCTCTGCATGGAGCCAGAATTGAGGGTTAGTCTGGTGCCAGATGCATTAGAGAGTGAGGAAGAGAAATCCACCACATTACCCAAGGGGAGCAGTATTTGGTCTTTACAAGAAGTTTTTCATGCAAGACTCCTGGATTTCTTTAAAGCACATCCGGAGGTACTCTCTCTTGTAGCTTCCACTGTATTCAAGGGTTTTTGGTTTTGGCTTAATGAATCCATGATATTTGTTTTGATGGTTCTAATCCATGATGTTGGGCTCCAGTTTCATTGTTTTTGGTTCGGGCTTAGAGCATTGATTTTATGAATGTTCATGTTCCGCTGGATTTAGGGTCTTAACTGTTGAGTTTTTCATGTGCTTTCCTACTGTTTATGAATATAACACAAATTACAAGCTTGAGTTGTAAACTTAGTGATGATGAACTGGTCGGTGGCTCTGGTATGAAGGATGGTAGAAACTTTTTGGAAAATGAGGGCCTGTTTGGCAACTGGTAGATGGGACTTCCCGGAAGATAGAAGTTTTAAATCGGGAAACTGGAACTTTTGATACTTTGTAATTGAAAATATTGTGTTCGTGGAATTTTAAGGGATTCTGGAAAACCATGTTTGATTAGATCTGGGATCTTGGAAACCTGGAGATCAGGAAATGAGCCTATTTAAACTGTTCATTGAAGTTTTCATTGATAAGAGGGTGATATTTGTTCAACGAAGCAGATTTTAAGTGAATTAAATAAAAAGAGAAGCATGAAAGGTATAGGAAAAAGAATAAAGGATAATTGGATCCATATTCAGAGCATATACTCACATTTTGCATACAAGTCTATCAAACCTGTCGTAACATACACATTCAACCATGCACAACTCCTCTTAACATGATCATGAACCATTTTAACTTCTCTAGTGCACTCAGTTTTACACAAGCTAATACAACAATGATCAAAACTACATTACCTGACCTAAAGCTACTATAGAGTCAGAGATTTTCAATGCTTCCATGCTTTGGCCCCACCATAGCTTTACCCAGCCAAAACAGTGCTTCACGATACCACATCTGTAACAAAACCCATATCTCCAAATTCTAGTGGAATTGTAAGAGATTATATTTCTCTTCACCATTTCCTTAAACAATTGGTGGGCGAAAACTAGAGAACCAAAGCTTGAAAAACATAACTATAAACCACCACTGACTGAATCAATTATGGTCTATTATCTTATAGCATCTGCATGTGTCAGTTTATGAAGAAATTGATAATGAGTGTTTTTCATTGCTCAATTTATTTCAAATTTCTTCATAAGTAGACATTACCTAACACAACATGTACAAACTCAACAGTGGCCCATGGATACTAGTCAATTAAATAAAATGCTTTGGCATAAAGAATATCTTTTTCCGTGGTGAAAAATTTGATGTAAGCACAACATTTTCTCCTATATGCTAGGGGAAGAAAAAAAATCCCCAACTTCAAATCAACTAGAATTTATTCCCTAGTTCCAGAGTTGAAACTTCATGTTGTCAAATGTACCTCTAGAATCTATGCAGTTTTTTTTTGAGAAGTGGATTTGACAATTCTAAAGACTTCACAAGTTATGCTTAATAGTTAACACATTCCAATATATATATATATATATATATTCACAAGTAAAGCTGAAAATCAGCAGTCAGTGAGAGTCAGCATTTCAGGATAACTAATATATGGAAATTTGTATTGTAATGTAGAATGTAATAAACTTGAATTCTTATGTGCGTTTGTGTTTAGCTACCTCATTTTTCTCTTTTGAATTTTTCATCTCTTCACCATTAAATTCATAAACAATAACGATTATTTCATACTTGAATTAGTGTCTCGATAGTCATCATGTATCTCTGTCCTATTTACATAGAATTGTTTGGATTGAATTTTTTCCATTATGCATTTGCTGCCATAGGCCAGGAAGTAAAAGTTTTCTTTTTATTTTTTTGTTATTTCTATGGAGGTAGGCAACTGTAAATGTGGTGTGATCATTTTGTTATTACAAATTTAAGGCATGTTTCTGTAATTTTTAAGAAGAGGCTTTAGATGATTCTCTTTCAAAACCATGAAACAGAGGAAACTTTGGCAGTTTCATGCTCTATTTAAGGTGAATATTGTACTCCACTGAAATGGTAGTGCCATGCACAACAGGTTGAGGAAATTCCCAAGGCAAAACTGCCTAAGCCATTCAATAGTGAAACTGAACAATTCTCTCTTCCCAACCTATTCTCTTTGCAATCATCTCAATTGTATCATGAATCCACCACTGATGACTATTTGGCTGTATCTTCGCATTTACCGCCTTCTTTCCAGCCAATATTTGCCCATAAAAAAATCCTCCCCAAATCAGAAAAAACTCAACTTATACCATCTCAAGACCCCATTTCCCAAGGAAGTTCTATTTTTGAGTTTACCCAAGCTAACAATTTATCTTCAAATGAGAACTCTTCTGATTCAGCCATGCTTGACTCTCATGCTCCTCTAAATGCCTACTCAGTTCTCAATTCTTCCTTTTGTGGAAGTACCCCTTTAAAACCCATCTCATATAGTCATATTAGCAATATACATTCAAAGGAGAACCCTTCTGATCTGGCCATGCTTGACCCTGTTGCTCCTCAAAATGGCCACTCAATTCCCAATGCTCCTTTCTGTGCAAGCACCCCATTGAAAGCCATTTCGTATAGCCATGTTGACAACTTAACTGCAGAGGACTCTTCCGATTCAACCAAGCTTCACCCTCTTGCTCCTCAAAATGCTCACTCAGTTCCAAGTTCGACTTTCTGTGCAAGTACCCCATCGAAACTCATCCCAGATTCAGTTAACTTCATGTCTGAGACACCATCTTTGAGTACACCTAAGAGACCTTTGCCCACTCCAAACGACAATTTAATCACTACAGTCGTGGAGGCATCAGGTCGTTTGCCTCCAAAGTCATGGAACCTTTTATTCTCTCCAAAAAACCCAGATGGAAGTGCTTCAAATTCAGCTTCTAGTTTTGCAAAAGAAAACAAAGACAGGAAGCATGAAGCTGGAGAAATAGAAAGTGCTTTGGTGGATGGAGAAACCATTGAAAGTCCTACTGCCACTGTGCTGCAACTGGTATGTGAACCCATTTGAATCTTCTTTCTATTATCTTTTGTATATATATATATATATATATATTTGAGGTTCATGCTATCATCCTTTACTTATTTTTTTGGAATATAATTATTTTATTGTATTTCATTTGAAATCAGTTAATCATAGAATAAATATCTTGGCTTTTAGATGGTGCTTTGTCACTGAGATTGTGGATCACCAGAAAGTTTCAAACATGTTAATAACTTTTGGGATACTTGTTTCGAGCATATGTTGTATACATAATACAATTTGTTATTCCTTGACTATTCAAAACATGACAATTACAAGGTTTACTCTTCTAAACTCAAGGAATCCGGTGAACCTTTTTTTCTTAATCTTCAGAGAAGTAATTCATTCTACTCCTTGAACTTTCTTTCCTAAGACAATTCTGGATTGATCTGACTTGTATTGACAAGGTCCAACAAAATTTTCTTCCCTTTTGTCTCAAAATCTTTACAAAGCTTCTGAGGAACTGATCACGCTCTATTATTATGTGAACAATTATTTCGTAATGCCAATCAAATGTGTATGAAACTATACTGTCACATAAAAAAAAGCATATGAAATTATACTTACCAGCAAATCCAATTATTCCTTGACTCTTCAAAACATGACAATTACAAGGTTTACTCTTCTAAACTTAAGGAATCCGATAAACCTTTTTTTCTTTATCTTCAGAGAAGTATTTCTTTCTACTCCTTGAACTTTCTTTCCTGAGACAATTTTTGGATTGATCTGACTTGTATTGACAAGGTCCAACAAAATTTTCTTCCCTTTGTCTCACAATCTTTACAAAGCTTATGAGAAACTGATCAGGATCTATTATTATGTGAGCAGTTATCTCGTAATGCCAATCAAATGTGTATGAAACTATACTGTCACATAAAAAAACAAACATATGAAATTATACTTACCAGCAAATCCAATTATTCATTCTCTATCATTTAAACTCTATTTTATGATTCCCCCCTCCCCACCCCCCCTTTTCTCTTTTATCTTGGGGACACATGAGAACAGTGTGGCTATGAATGATTGTTTCGGTTATCCATCCCCAGGCCAGTTTAATACTGATAACCATATGTAATATGATTAGTTGGACTGCATCTGGTTTTGATTTGAAGGAGGCAGAGAGAGAAAATGCACCGGCTGAATATTGTGAAATGACGATAGCTGGTTTGGAGCAACATCATCAGATGCTGGCTTTTTTGCCCAGCCTCTTCAACACAATCTGCCTTATATTTCAGGAAGCCAAGAGATCCTCTATAACAAAACAGGAGCTTCTTTACAAGATACTGACACATGATTCCAACATTACAGAGACAAGTACGAATGCATTTACTTTTAAGACTATAATGTGAATCCATGTGCGATTTGATTTACGTATTTTTTCTCCCCCATTAATTTTCATGTCTATGGTAGAACTTGGCTAAATCTTGAATCTTTGAAACTGTAGGAGATGTTGTTGAAGAACAACTGACACTCTTGGGAGATTTGGTTCCAGAGTGGATATGCGGAAAGATAACATGCAGTGGAGATTTTATATACTGGTAAGATGTTTGGTAGGACGCTGTAGAAATATCATAAACCTTTGCTTTATGTGATTTTTCTAATAATAAGGATTGCCTTAGTTGCATGGAACGTGATTGTGCAGTCTTCTGTCATTATGATGTTACTTTGTGGAATTTTGCAAGATCGTCTCTGGTCATGCATTTTGGGGAAATTTGATCTTTAAAGCAACCTGAAATGTGGAATTATTCTTAGTTACTGATATGTTTTTGCTTTTGATGAATAATTACAGTATTAATAAAATCTCAGATGCCGAGTCCATTCATGCAAGGCTTCAAGAAGCTGTGCAACCTGATCACAATAAGGTGGTGTAACCTGCCTCTTCTGCACTCACTGATTAAAAAAGAAAAGGATTTCCTCTTCCAGATTTGAATGACAAGTCAAGATCTTGCATGTTTTGTTGTTGAAGACTTGTCAGGTTCTCCATTTTTGTTGATAGTGTAGTGATTTCATTAAGTCACTGATGATCATGGTACACTCTACAGGACAATGACAGTTAATTTGTGAAAAGAACTGGTAACTCAGTCAATTGCTCTATATTTCAAAATTAGAGTTTTGACGTGTGTTGTGTTGGTTTACGTGGAGAGAGAAATATAAGCTAACAAAGACACCATGGTGAGAAATGTCAAGCTCATAATCGCAAAATCAGCTTTTCTGAGACAAGATATCTATGCAACATCTACAGTTGAGTTTCAAAAATAAAAAATGTCTAAATTCTTAACCTGTCAAAGGGGCCTGATCTCAATATATTAGCCCAAGCTAAAACTTTTTTAGATTGTATATTTACTTTTGGTATAAGGAGATTACAATATTTTTAGCCTTTAGATGTGATATTTAATATATCAAAATATGTCACAATATTCGAAAATTATTATCTTGGACAACGGCCAATAATAATTGCGATCTCCTTGTACATTTCTATTTTTTTTCTTTGAAGAGGAGATGGGGCAGTTAACCATTCTATACGCTCCACTTCTGGATTTTCACGAGTAAATGATAAGGTTCTGAATGGTGAGGCAGCTACCAACAACTCCCTAAGGCATAAATAGATACCTTGAGGATGTTTTAGATCCGAAATTTTGGGATCCATTTAACTGCCACTATATTATTATTTTAAGGAAAAAAAATGGATTTTTAAGTTCTTAAAATCGAGATTTTTCCCTCCGAAGATCTAATGACGTGGTTAGCATACAGCCAAGCCCGTAGAAATGCGGGTTTGGCAATAAATATATTTTTTTAATAATAATTTCATCCTAATAGTTAGAGAATATAGAATTTTTAACATGAAGATCATGAATATGAAAAAATAAATAAATTTTGAAAACAAATAATAATAATTATATTAAAAAAACATTACAATTGTTTTTAGATGGACCACCTATTTGTATCCATCTTTAAGATGGATGCTTTATACATCTAGACCCTGCATAAAACAATTGTTCGAGATGGAATTAGGCACATACCGATTACGAATTAAATTTTCTTTCTTTCTTTGCGTCCACTGGTTGTAGAGATTACATTCCTAAAGAGCGTGAAATCTACGTTATTGGGGGAGCATAATGTACATGAGAGTATTTTTTCAATTTAAAATTTAGGGTATTATTTAATAATCACATGATGATTTTTTTCAAAAGAAAAGATTTGAATTTTGAGTTTCCTAACATTTAGATCTCATCTTCTTTTTCAAAAAGAAAAAACACTTAGATCGCACCCTCGAAAAATTGAGCGGTCTCTATTCAATATTGAGACATCAACTACATAGATGATTCTATTAGGTATATTTATTTTGATTGAGATTCATTTATGAGTCGGAGAGGTTACATTCCAAAATTTGAGGTCATAAAATGAACCCTAGATGGAGTCTTACTTGAGGGAGTAAATAGACACTATACTCCAACGGTATAAATATCTTTTGGAGTTCCTACCACGTGAAATCCCCAAATTTTATTCCAAAGATCCCGAGGGAGCAAATGGACAGTTTGGTGGCAATCGCTTTTGGAATTCCTAAAATGTGAAATCCCCAAATTTTATTCCAAGGTTCCCGAAGGAGCGAATAGAGAGTGGTGGTAATCGCTTTTGGAATTCCTAAAATGTTAATTCCCCAAATTTTATTCGAAGATTCCCGAGGGAACAAATGGACAGTTTGATGGCAATCAGGAGCTGTACAACTGAGGCCGCATGAAGACCCGACCCGGGCCGGGTAGGGATCCAGATTTGGACCGTTGTGGGTTGGGTTTGGTTCCAAATTTTTGACCCAAACAGTATTTGGATGAGGTCCATGTCCATGTCCATATAGACCCTTTTCAAAATTATATTACTTTATTTTAAATATCTATATATATTGATAGTTATTAGCACATTTAAATGATGCATATATATTTATGAATGTGTTTAATCTTCGCCCTTATTCTTTTTTTAAGATGACGGGGATTAATCCTCTCATAATTTACTTGACTTTTATAGGGTTTTGATCTCTCTCTCTCCTCATTGTTCAGTGATTTCTAGATTGGGTCAGGTGCAAGTCGAGGTCCCTTATAAACAACTTTGGTGTGGGGCTCGGGACGGTAGAGCCGGTCCTGGGTCTGGAACCGGTTACGGAACCTAAACGTAAGCAAACAACTGTGCACAAGTGTAGTCCAAAGCGTCTTCATCGCATCCAACGTGTATCCTCTTTCTTCTCACTCTTATCCATATCAGTGTCCTCCTGGAAATCTCCGCCCCGCCCGCTGTAAAACAACCGCAGTGAGCTGTAAAAATCCCAGAGAGAGAGAGAAAAACTCCAAAGACCACAAGCTTATCCGCAGAGAAATAATATAGGGTTCCTTGAGAGAGAGGCTCCAGAGGAGATCCATAGCAAAGAAGAGGAGAGAGAGAGACAGGCTCCCCTCTGATCTCTCAATGGGCACCAAGACAGAGAACCTTCAATCCCTCCTGGACTCCGCCCTCCCCTTTATCAGAGGCGAGCTGGAGCTCATCGACCCTGACCTACCACGTCTCATCGCCGTCCTCCGCTCCTCGGGTGCCTCCGAGTGCTGGCACAAGCATGGCGATTTCCTCCACCACCTCGTCAGCATCTTTCGCATTCTCTCTCTATGGAAATCACCCCACCCTCTAGCTCTATGTGGCCTCTTCCATTCTGCCTACTCCAATTCTTATGTAAACCTTGCCATCTTTCCCCCGGAAACATCTCGACCGTATGTTCAATCCCTCATCGGCCCCCAAGCCGAAGATCTCGTCCACATGTTTTGTGTCGTGCCTCGCCAGTCTCTCATACACGATGACCTCCTCTTCCATTTCTCTGACACGGAGCTCGAATCAGCATTCATGAGAGAGGAAGTCCCCGAATCCTTGAGAGATAAAATTCAGAGATTGGTCCCTCCTTATGGTGTGACTGTTAAGCACATACGAACAGGACAGGACCTCGTAGTTCCTCGAAGGCTTGTGGCCTCCTTTCTCTTGATGACCATCGCCGATTTTAGCGACCAGCTTTTTGGGTTTCAAGATGAGTTGTTTGAGAATTCGAATGGGAGGCTGGAGTTCTCCGGGAACAACATCACCACGCTGTGGCCGGGGGACGGGAAGCCTGGGCTGTGGGTGAACTCCCTCTCCAGAATGGCTGTTTTGTACAGGCTTCTGGTGAGAGAGGAGGAGAGGAGAGAGAGTGAGAATGGGTTTGCTAATGGGGGATCCAAGAGGGGTTATGAAGAGATAGAATTGGTGGTGCCCCCTGTTTTTGAGAATTGCACCATGGTTTTGAGCTGTCAGGATGAGAGAGAGGCCAGGGATTTGTACTGGGAAGTTGTGTGTGGTGGTGGTGGTGGGAAGATAGGACTAGAGAGACAGAGAGAGTTGTTGGTGAGGTGCATTGAGAAGAACCCATTTGTTGGGGAGCCCCATGTGTTGCTTGCTCAAATATATGTGATGCAAGGGAGGTATGAGGAAGGAGAGAGAGAGGGAGAGAGGGGGTTGAAGCTCATGTTAGAGTGGGGAAGCAATTGGGACAAGAGGGTCTCATGGGAGGGCTGGGTGGCTTGGAATAGGGTTCTTATCATGAAGGCAAAGGAGAGGTCTTGGCCCCAAACCTCATGGGGAATCCTCAACCTAGGTCTTGTTCGCTGATCCAACCCCTGGTAGCTATGCCCCACGCTTTACTATTTCATTACTTGCATTACAGACACCCATCTTACTAGTGGGATAGATGCTGATCTATCTCTTCATGAAACCTTGTAAATGTATATTTGGATCTTTAGGTGTTAGGTGCTTCAATGAGATCTTGGTCTTGGAGTTGAATAATGGAGGTTCTCCATGAATTTGAAGAGCTTGCTGCTGAATCTTGAATATTATATATGTTATCTAGAGTGCTTTTGTTTATTCATGCAAAATTTATGTGTTTGGATTTTGAATAGGTTGAGAGAGTCAGTGTTTGTGTTTGTGTTTGTCTTGCCCACGAAGTCCTTGATTTCTCCATAGTTGAGAGAAATTGACGTTTGTGGATTTTGAATAGGTCGGGAGAGTCGGTTTTCGTCGATGTCTTGCCCACAAACTCCTCAATTTTTCAGTTTCTCCTCTAATTTACCAAGTAATGTACATAGAAATAATTGTAAGGAATCAATGAATTTTGTATTGTATATCGAAACAAAAGATTTGAGAAATCCATAACAACAATCCTTGATATTGCAAATCTATAAATTTTCTTGGATTTCAAATATCTAAAATTCCTAATTGTGCTATCCAAACATGCCCTAGGTTCAAAAATATTTATTTTCTTCATGGTTTTCTTCACAAGGTCCAAGAGAATGTATGTGCAGAAAACCAAAAACCAAAAACAGGTGAAGACGAATCACTATAGCAATCCGCCCTTGGGCATAATAAAAGTTTTTCCTCCTAATGGGTGCTGAATGCTACATCATACTTGTATTATGTTCACCATCAAGGAATTATTCATCTCCACCATCCATCACGAACGATAACTAGGGGTGGCAATGGACCGACCAAAGACAACTAGGGGTTGCAATGGACCCAACGACACGTAGGACCCGGCGGGCAGACCCGACTTTGGACCTGGGTATGGATACCAAATTTTGGACCTAAGAAGTCGGGTCTGGATCCGAGTTCAACCAGACCCGACTTTAATAATATGGGTATATGTTATGTGGGTATTCATAAATGTTGTCAATGCATTTATTTTTTAAGAATTTTCAGTTTTTACATAAAACAGTAAGGAAAGTGGTTATATGTAGTATTCATCAGGAAATTGGGCATATGTAGTATTCATCAATGTTGCGCAATACTGTAAATGTTGCCAATAATATGACTATATGATGGTAAATAAAAGGGCCAAGCAAAAAAAGAGCTCATAGTCGTGGCAATGCACCTGATCAGGCTTAAGTCCCGACAGGTTCAGGTATGCGAGGCAATGAACCCGACCAGGCTTAAGTCTCCACAGGTTAAGGAATGGTTCTAAATCCGGGACCTGAACTATTCAGGCCACCCCTAAAGATAACCTATTTTAAAGTCCAAAAGAAAAAAAAAGAAAAAGAAGAAAGCACCTCTTTATCTTTTAATTTTTACTTCTATTTTTTTTAAAACCCAAGTTTTGAAAATATTACATTGTAAACAAAAAGTTTCCATACCTTCTATCTTACAAACCCCTTGACAATCGTGAATATTTGATTTAAACAAAAACGAAAATGACACGCTCAACGCATTGTCTCTCTCCCCTCTCTCTCTCTCTAAAAACCCATATGTCTGAAAAACCTATTGCCCTGTTGCAGCCCCAACCCCCTGAGCAAAAAGCTATTTCTAGTCTCACTAGGAGAAGCGGGCATAGGCCGGAGATAAGCCCAAGCCGCTTCTTTGACGAGCCTATTCTTTAGAGAGATCTCGCCCCACCCACTGTTTCACACCCCGTTGGTGACTGGATCGCATTTGGTGAGCTCGGTAGAAGATCGCGAAGGCTTGCGTATGATAGCGGCTTGAGGGTTGTGCACGATAAGTCATCAAGGGTTGTGTATGGTGAGATTTTGAGGTTTGCAAGTTCTTTGGCTTCACAGGTGGCCATGGAAACGCTCGAGCTTTGAGGTAGCCGGAGCTCGATGGACACAGTGGCCGGAACCATGTTTCTCTGGCGAAGTGACGGGGGATCCATTTTCACGGCCACCATTTTGGCCGGAATCTTGACCGGAATGTGTAGGGAATATTGATGGCAGGAAAATCGGCCAGAGATTGCAAGAAGAAAGAGAAAATGCAGATAACACTAATTGTGGTTTTATTGCTTTAACTTTAGATGGAAATTGCAAGGAGAACCCACAAATTTTCGGTTTAGGGTTTCACAGACTGAATTCAGCTTCAATTTATAAGAATAACGGAAAAAATGACTGTAATGGCCGAAATTTTGATCGGGATTTGCAAAGAGTAAGGGGAAATCCAAGGGTCAGGGGTTTTTAGCCTGGAGAGAGGTTTTTGATGAAGATTGCGGCCAAAACACAAAGTTTCCGGTGGAGGTTCCAAGCCCAGTAGTAGATATCTAGTGAAGACCCAGCCAATATTTTGGAAACGATTTCCGTGAAATCAGAGTCTTTCGTCGGAATTTGATCGTCTTTTAGGGCTCAAAGTTTGTTTGGTCCGCTTGTTTGCCGTGAAAAGTTTTTGGGGTGTCATTATAGTTTTTATTTGGGTAAAAAATTTACGGTTCCATAGATCCAACAAGTTTGTAAGATGGAAAAGATGGAGACCCTTTACCTACAATTAATATTTTCAATTTTTGGTTATCAAACATTACATAAATAAAAAATAAGAGATAAAAAAATATTTTTCAAAAAAATAAAAAATAAAGACATCCTACCATACGCCCCAAGTGCAAATGGTATTTGCCATCGACGCAATTGAGTTCTTTTCACAGGGTACGAGGAAGAATGCTAGGTTGGACCTTGTACACAACTGCGGTTCACACTGGGGACAAAACTATGAGATGAGATGCGATGCGATGCGATGCGAAGCGATGCGATGCGATGCGATGGATTCTCAAGAGGTACATTGGAGAAACTGAAGTCTTTCTTTTCTTTTATTTTCCCCGAGACATATAGGGATCACCCGCATTTAGCCAGTGTTTTAAAAACCGCCCACTTCCTACTTGAATTGTCCATCTGGATTGGAATCGTTCATGATTGAATCAGTTTTGGCCTTTTGGGTGATATAAGGCCCCGCCCTGCCCTGTTGCCCCCTAAAAACAATTTGTATATTTTAAGTTCATTTAATATTTTTGTAGTTCCCGTCTATAAACCCTTATTTTAATTTTTTTTTGTCTCATTTATTTAGCAACATATTTCTAGATCACGAATTTGTTCTGATCCAGTAATCCGATACAAATTTGTGTGTAAATTATTTACGATTTGATATAGATTTGTATGTAAATTATCTGCCATACCAATCCAGGTTTTGAAGTATTGTATTTCTTAGATGGGTGCAGCTGGCATACGGATGCTTTCGTGCCTGTAGAGGTAAGGTGCACCTTTAAATTTTATAATGGTATCTAATTTTGATGTAAAATGTTATTAGGACTATCTCAAAATCTATTTTTATATCTAATTATAAAATTTTAAATTTCAAATATTGTTAAAATCAAGTAGATCTAAAAATATATGAAAATCTTGAAAATAGACGGTGTAGATAATATGTTGTAAAATGCACTATTTATGAGACTTAAAACTTTTTATTTTTCATGGTCATACATCTCGATGTCGAGATGATCAATCAAAGGGTGGTTTTTTAACATTAAAACTACCTTTTCTGATGGATTTTTGATCCGTAGTTGTACATTATAAGGGTGCATCCTTGTATAAATTTTCTCCTTTTTAGATTGGACGAAGCACTTGATGGGTTTGGTTTTTTTTTTTTTTGGAAATTTATCAAAAGCAACGAAGAGATGAACCATTATTTTTTCCTTAATTTCAAAAATCTTAGCGCATGATATTAATCATGGATTACAATAGCTTATATTTTAGATATGTTTTGACAAATACGTAAAAGGTTAAATATTTGGGATTTTACCCATTTTTTATTAATTTTTTCTTTTCTTTCACTTGCCTATAAATACACAACCCATTTTTTGCTCTTCAAATAATGCTTGTTTAGAAAACGCAACAAAATAATGCTTAGTTGGTCATAGTCAGAGGAAGAATAATACGTGTAGAAGAAAAAAAATTGCTGCTTAATTGCATAAGTAATTGTTTTTAATGCATTAAGCAACCATTATATAAATGTTTAATGCTTTTGATCTCTGGTTTTTTAAATTGATGGTTAACTAATTACAGGATACCAATTTACAAATTTTAAACATGACAAATTTTGTATAGAATATTTACATTTCAAATATTTCATTTTCTCTTTTTCATTTTCTTACTCGTACAGCCGGCTCTTCTGGGTGCTTGAACAGTTCCCAACTCTTATGGTGCGGATACTGTTATTGTCATTGAACGAACCAACTAAATGGTTCCAACACGTTACATAAGGAAGACCAAAATTTCGTCTTCTTCAGTTGTGCCAAGATTTTCTTATATGATTGCAGTTGTGTAGGGCTGATTATGGGTGAGGCGGCCTGGCTCAGCCCGATCAAACCGCCCCTGAAAGAGTAGGGCCTAGGCCACAAACTTTGGGCCGACGGTCGAGCAAGGGACAATGTTAGCATGGCCTTGCTCGGCCCGCGCGACTTTTTTTTTTTCCCCCCTTTAATTTTCGTTTTTTTTCCTGACCCAGAACTAACAAGGCCAAGGCCAGGGTTGTGCCAACTCTATGGGTACCTTGAGAACCTAGAAATGGAAATTAGACAAGGTCCATTTCCATTTTGTTATACACTTATACCCATTTTTTTAAAGTGAAAGTATACAATGAGATCATTTATTTCCAGTACAATGTCGCAATCAATCCTTGTTGTTGGATGTAAAACAAGTGGCCAAGGATGTGCCATTGATCGGATTCAAAATCCAAAACAAATTTAACATATCTAGAGCTCTGCAAGACTTCACATCTGCAGGCTATTGGTGGCTGTGACCTCCTTGCACCATTGAAAAAGGGTATTATGGCATATAAACCCACTTATAAACTGTGCAAAGGATTAGGATTTTTGTAGGATTGACCGACTTAATCAAGCAAAGATGGTTGGATATGACAGGCTCTGTAGTTTGCTTATTTGAGATGATTTTGGTGATTATGGACCTACTTCCTTATGGGAACAACTTGAAAAAAACAATAGGCCAATGGAAATGGAAAGCCTTATAATTATTGAGTATGAAAGTTATAATTGGCTCAAATTTGATTCTAGAAGTTAAAAAGATGGTGTATATATATATGCTGGTCCACATGTGCAAAGGATATATTAACTTTTGGGGGTAAAG